AGATTGAAATATCACGCCATGCCGCAGACGTGAAAAATCGTGGGGGTTTTCTCATCGAAGCCATCCGCGAGAAACTATCAGAACCCAGAAGTGCAAAAGGCGCGCGAGAGTGCGAGCCGAGAAAGTCAGAGAAAAGCACTTGAGGACTGACGGCAGAATTTAGAGTCAAACGTGATAACCTCCTTCGGCAAGCCGTCCACGCCGAGCCGGCACTCGTTGAAGCCGCTGCCGAAAGAATTCAATCTTATATCGTCCGTCAACGACTCGTTGAACACCCATCGCGATATCGAGGCGTATCAGAAAGGCGGCATGGTCGCCGCAGAGATCAACGCCATCCTTGCCGCAGAGTTCTGTCAGGACTTACTCGCACCGGTTGTTGAGGTGTATGAGGATGAAAAGGCAAGAATCTTGGGAAGGCGTTCTGTGAAGCAGGATTACAGGATTGGGAGTGTCGAACCACGGGATTACAGGATTTATGGGATTTGCGGGATAGATGGGAGACGATGAAGGGTTTCTTTATTACGAATAGGCTGGCGAGGTTATCAGATGAAACGTAGATTAGATGTGGAATTGGAAGTCACTACAGATTTGTCCCCGTTAGAACTCGCGTCGAAGATTGCACCGCTTGTCCGGGAGGCACTTGAGGCGGTGCGGCAGTCTTTGGGAGTTGAGGGTAAGTCGAGGGGCACGGAGCGACACAGAGCGACACGCGCAACGTCTGTGGCGTGTGCCGATAGATAAAGCGATGCAGTAACCGTCAAAAATGAGGGCAGCTTATAGATATGGGTTTTGGTTTTACTGTTCCGTCAACATTTCGGTAATGCATTGTGGAAATTCAGCAGATGCCCTTTCAACATCTCTTTTGTTGTTTCCGCAGCTTATAAAGAACGCGTGGACAATATCGAAGTCTCTGTCTCGGGCAGCAATCAGATCTGCTTTGGCTTTTTTCCAATCTTCCCACTTCAACCAAATGAGGCTGCGACTGTAATAGGCTTTGGGATCACAAGGTTCGAGTTCTATCACTTTGCTGAAGTCTGGGATTGCCTTTTGAAAATAATTTTTCCCACTAAGAACATTAATATTCTTGTAATAATCAACCCGGATATCGTAATAAGCAGTCCCGCGATTCCTAGACGAAACTCAATGCCGCTGTGAGTGATAGATTTCGGTTTCCATTACGTTTTATCTTGACGGCGGGCACTGTCATGACATCAGCGAGAAGCACATGCGTTGATTGCCGGATACTCGTGTAAAGTATGTCATCGCTGATACGGTTTCCTGTGACTCGGATGCCTGAGAACTGAGATGTTGCTCAAGGGGGTGTGCTGTCATTCGTCCTCGGAACAACAGCGTTGAAGAGCGTCCTTATGATAAAGTTTTGTATAAACTTCGCAACGTCATAGAGCGTTTTTTCATCGCTTGAAACAATATCGTCGGGGTGCCACCCGCTATGATAAATACGCACGTCGATACCTCGGATTCGTTTATTCGCAGCTATACTTATCACTACTAAAAAATGTAAACACTACCTAGATATTTACGATATAGCACGGATTCGCTGCGAACCTGATAAAAACACATGCACTTATTTTTACTGTCCATTATAAATTCCAGTAAAAAGGAACGCTCACGACTACCCATCGCGGGCGTTTGTGTGTAACGCGAGCAGTTCTCCAATCGTAGAAAGAAAAACACAGAATGTCAAGGCGACGGTACCTCCTCTACTTTTTCCACGTCGTTGTGTTAACATTTATACTGTCCATCAGCGAAAAGCATACTTTTTTCAGCAGACAGCGATATTCCCTTGTCCACTACCCAACCCGAAATCCGCCAGCAACCTTGCGACACCCAAAACGGCATCATTGCACTTTGCTCCAAGAAAAAACGCCTGTAAACGCCCATAGAAACGATTTGAAAAAGGCCTGTGTGTTTTCCCTCTCGCAAACATGAAAAATGCCCTCGCTTGACACAGACGAAGAAATTTGGAACCACACACCCGACCCCAGCGCAATTGACACGAGAGTGAAACCCTTTGAATTGATTTTACGTATAGAACGCGCTACTCATGCATCGTGATCCAGACGTGTACTGTGGATACGCCTTTATGGTCGGGGACCGGCGAACGCCAGGGCACCCGTAGTTTTTGTGAGGTTTGGCGTTGGTGGCACCCTGAAAATCAGGGACATGGACGAATCGACGCTCTGTCCAAGTCAATACTTCCATAAGGAGTAATGGAATAGGGCAACCCAATGGAAACAAATGTCTGGATAGTAGGGAAGTGCCGTCACCAGCGAGAGTGTACAGTAAGTAAAAGCGGTTCCGCATGTTGGATTTCCGTGAGTTTCCGGTAAGGGTCTTCACTGTGTGCCCTCCTTGTGGCTCGGTTTTTTCGGTTTATACTTCTCAACTTGACTCAAACTCCTGCCTGTGACGAAAGCAATATCCAAACGGGTTTTCCCTTCATCGTAAAGGCGATGGATCTCAGCGATTTCTTCATCAGAGAGTTTGCGTCGCCAGGGACTGATCCCCATGTGTTCCTGTCGTTTCTCAATGACTTCGGTCGGCAGGATCTTCGCAAATTCAGCGACAATCAACGGGAAATAGCGATACAGTGTTGAGACAGATACACCCGTCTCGACGTGTATATCCTCGTATTTCACTGTATACCAACGCTCAGGGTTTTTTCAACCCATTGCCGGATCTTGTTCTGTAGTTCAGGGGCTTTCCACGGTTTTGGCATGTCAGTTCTCCTCTATGAGGCGGGGTAAAAACCCCGCCCTGTTAATTATGGATGTGGATAAGACTCTGATTCAGCAATAATTGTGTGTGCACAATCAAGCAAAATTGAGACTTGCTCTCGCTCGGTGATGCCCTCGTATTCATCAAATGCTTCATAGACAGCAACTGAGAGATCGTCCCTTGTAATCGAATGTTCAATGCGTCCTACAGTGTCCAAAAGGGTATCAAGGATACCTTTCAAACTCGGTAGGTTCAGATCCGCAAGGGATGTATCTACTTCGGAATCCTCGGTCTCTTGCGCATCGTCTGGACAGGTTTCCTCCGTTTCTGCGGGTGTTTCATCACTGGCATCCGATGTTTCAGAAGGTTCGGGTTCAGGCGGCTCGGTATCCCTGAGTTCGTCCCGAACTCTACGTATGAAAACATAAGAATCACTTTTCATAAGTTTCAACAGGTCTTTGAGTTCCTCGACTGTTACTGCGCCGGATGTCTCTGATTCACGATACACGCCCAAAGCCCTTATCAACTGAGATTTACTCGCCCGACTGACGAGATCGCTTTCTTTATAACCTATTTCCTTATACCGCTGTTTCCATTTCGGCATCTCGGCAGTGACCTTCTCCCATAGCGTTTTGAGGGCATCATCGGGTTCGGGTTCGGGATCAGGTTTAGGTTCAGGTTTGGAATCAGCCTTAGAGAGGGCATTCTTCCGCCATTGAAGCATCGACTGTATCCACTCCTGATCCTTCCATTTCAGAATGTCAAACGCGTAGGTATTGATGGCTCTGCACTCTTTTTCCAAATCTTCAAGCGAGACATCGGATTCAAGTGCGCGTTCTTGAAAATTACTCAACGAATTCGCAGACGTGATGCGTTTCATACCGGATTTGAAAGGGGCTTCATAAATCTCATGATACCTTGCAAACCCGTCTTCCAACTGCGGAAGTGAAAGATACTGATTCAACTCGGTATCTGCGTCCCCAGTGTAATCTCTTGCCGCCTGTACCCGTGCGTCCCACATAGACTTAAGGGTTTGCTTCTTCTTTTTCAAGAGTTTGCTGGCATCTCTGTCGTCCACTGTCTCCGATTTCGATTCGGCGGGCTGCTGAGATTCTTTCAGCACCCGACGCACCTCAAGAATAAAGGAAAGCGTATCTGCCTTGATAAGTTCGAGCAGCTGCTTAAGTTCCACTACCGTTGCCGCGCCGTCTGCATCGGAATCCTTATGGAAACGCAATGCCGCAATCAACATGGATTTACTCGCCCTGCCGATGTGATCGCTCTCATACTTGGATTTTTCCTTATTGCGGCGTTTCCATTCAGGCATTTCGGCACTGACCTGCTCCCATAGCGATTTCAGGGTTTCTTCCTTGATGACCTGAGAAGCCGTTTTCTCACCGGAGATGACGGCTCGGACTTACCGAGTTTCTCACTTTCACGGCTCGGTCATCGTGCTTGCGCCGACATTCGCTTCCGCGGCGAGATCCGCCTTGGTTTTCAACGCGTCATCTGGTGTTTTGCTCCGATCGCCACCCCACCCAAAGCGTTCATTGAGAAATACAACGATCTGCCCACGTTGTGAGGCAGTCAAGTGTCGCCTTTCAAGGTTTCGGGCAGAGACGAAAGCAATGGCTTCCCCGTCCTTTTCGTCGTCCCAGGGCATAAACATGAGTTTCCGCACGAGGTTCAACGAAAGGGCGGCTTGATACCGATGCCACCCATCTAAAACCTTGCCGTCATGCATGCGGATCAGCGGATCCATGAAGCCGTCTTGCTCAACAGATTTCACGAGGTTCTCAAAGTCCGTCTCCGGCATATCGCCGAAGATGCTGGAGAGTTCATGCCGTTTGAGTGTCCCAGCGTCGATAAACTCTCTATCCAAGACGATAATCGGTGAGACACAACACGTCGGCATCCGGTAATGCGTGTACGTGTCCGGGTTCTCTCTGTTGTGGTATTCCTTGATCTCGTAGAACGCATACCCATCCATCGTGATTTCATCGTGATTATGATTCCTACCACCGGCATAAACATCTCTGACATCCGCTGCTTTTATAAACTCGAACCGCGGGGCTTCGCCGTCATGTTCGTGCGAGTCGTGGTATTTCTTAAACTCTGCTGTGAACAGATCCCGTGCCCCCGGCGACGGGAATTTGATATTATTATGGTGATGGTCACCGTGATAGATTCTACCATAGCGGGTGCTTGCCATCTGTTTTTACAGGGACGTGTCGCCGCGCCCCTGCCTCTTTTTTATTGCTTTATTTCTCTGTTCTGAGTCTAACTTCATAGCCGAGTGCGATGACTTTCGCGATGAGTTGTTCGGGTGGAAAGGCATCAAGCGGATCGCGCGGGGTATCCTCGGCATCCAACGACATCGCTTCTACAGCATCTTGCGCCGAGACATAGTTGATGCCGATATAGGCTTGCGTGGTAACGACGTTTTTGTGTCCGAGCAGTTCCCGGACAAGATAGATGTCGTTACACTGCTGATAGAGCCGTTGCGCGAAGGTTTTCCGCAGCGTGTGTGTCGCCAGTTTGCCGTTCAGCCCCTGCTGCGACAAACACATCATTGAGTATTTTATGAATCGCTTGGCGTTGAACGGGGGTGTTGCCTTTGCGGGACGGGAAAAACGGGACATCGGGATGCATGCCCCCGAAGTGGGCGCGGTGCCACGCGATAATTTCAGCAATCGCCTTGCGTCCATCGGAATTCACTGGGATCGTCCGACTCGTTTCTCCGCCCTTGACGATCGCTCTGTCAAACTGGAAATCGGTGACGGGTTGTCCGTTCTGATAGACATCGCCGACGGTGAGAGCGAGCAATTCACTCACTCGCCCTCCGATCGACACACCGAGCATAAACAATCCGCGATTCCGCTGTGCGATGTGCCTTCAAACGCATCACGGACTTTGCGGATTTCTTCGTTGGTTAAGGGTCTTGTTCCCTTCATGGTGGGGGTGTAAGGGACGCGTCGCCGCGTCTCCCCTCATTGGATCGTAGGTTATTCTTTTTTGGAAAATAAATCTAACTGCCGTGTGGACGCAGGGCTACTGAACATTTCAGGCTGTATCGCGTTGCCCCCACACTTTTCAAACAGTTCATCAAGGTTTTCAAATTCTGCGTAGCCGTTAGAGAATTCGGAAGAAAACACACGATAAACGTTGTTTTCAATCTCACCGACTGCGAGGACTTTCCCTTCCTTGTCTATGAGTTGGAATTTGGTTACCATCGTCAATGCTCCTTAGTAAGGAATTTCCTGTTTGAACTCACCGGTGAAGGGTTCTAAATGTCCACTGACGCTCGGAAGCCCTTCGGTGATTTGGGCAATACGCGTGTCGTCTCGCCTCAAAAAAACTTTCGCTTTCGGCGTAAAAACGATAACGATCCGCAGTTGATGCCCAAGAAAAAGCGTAGGGTATAAATCGCGTTCAGGGGTTTCCCCCTCTCTGTAGGCGCACTCAATTTGTGCGCCGGTGTAACGTCGCAGATAGCGTTGTGCGACCGCCAGTCTAATTTTCTTCATCGACATCTCCGGTTACCTGTCGCGTGCCTCTCTCATAATACTTTGTTAACGTTCTAACATCGACACCGAGCGAGTCCGCAGCCTTGCCTTTTCGACCATATAGATTCATGCGTATCACTGCGACCACCGCTAAGATTTCTTCAGCCGTCATGTCGGATATGTCTATGTTTTCACCTGTATCTCTAAGACTCACACCGTGAAAGTTGCGAACTTCGTTGAGCAAGTCCTTCACAAATTTTTCTGCTTTTGATTGAGAGTCAAATGTTAATTCAAGGTTTTCATGTCCTAAAAATACATGCACCCTGTGATCTGAGCCTGCGTCCACCCGATACTGCACACTCTCGACTCGCGAGACTTTAATAAATCCCGTTTCATAGACAAATATACGTTCCATGTTGTATCAAGGGCGCGTCGCCGCGCCCCCTGCCTCCATTGTGTTACCATTCGCGACGGACACACCGACGCGCCCGTTGCCGTAGACGTTCCGAGCGATCGCGACGCTGTTTTACCAGTTCATAATTCGCCAATACGATGCCTGTGGCTACCATGAAAGCCCCTGCCAAAATGATGTAAATCACATCAAACTCCTTGACGGATTGATCCGTCGGGTTCTATAATGTCGGGGAAGGGTGAACTTCCCTTTACAGGTAGTTAGGGCAGGTTTCTTTGATAGGTCGCCTGCCCTAACGCGTATCCGTCCACTACGGATACAATACGCACGCGCGGAATCGAACCGCGCTGTCGCGCACCAGCGTTGCGTTAGTCTTTCCCACACTGCTCACATACACCCTCAACAGCATCGGCAACCTCACAGATCGCGATGTCTGTGTTGACTTGCGCGTTGGCGTAGCAGAAGGCATCATCAAAACTTCCGTAGCAGTCCGCACAGATGATAAATTCATCGCTCTGCGCGCCTGTGTTCAAGTTCGTGGCTTTCCCTAAAATCATCTTAATTTCCTTTGTAGGTTGTGGACGCGCCCCGTAAGGCGCGCCCTGTTTGTTATGCCTCCTGTAATGCATCAAAATGATCGCGCATGTGTGCGAGATTGTTAAGCAACGATTTTGAGACATGCCCCATCGCAAAATACCACGCGACCGACCGCCATAAACACTCGTTTTCTGCGTTGTGGCACTCATCCGGCACGATAGACCCGCGCCGCTGGTTGCGATCTTTGTTAGTCTTGCCATCAATCCGGTTTTTCGTTGTCAAGTGGACGCTGGCAATGAGGTTATCCGTTACCTGTGTATAAACTGCGTCCTTGTCGTCATCCGAGAGCGTTTTATAGAATTCTTGCCTGCCTGTGGAGTCGAGCGCATCAAATAGACGGACTGCCTGCTTAATTTGTATCGCTTGGGGTTTGATGGATACCTTCTGCATGCTTATCTCCTTTTGAAAGGAAGGACACGCCCCGAAGAACGCGCCCTGTTGTTTCGGTTAGCGTTGCCAAATCACCTTATCCTCGTGCGTGACTTTGGTCACGTTGTCTCGGATGTAGACTTGCTTATAGAAATCCAAGTCATCTGTGTTGCCTTCCAAAATTCCCTTTGCGGTGCGTTCGTTCACCCTGTCCACGTGAATCTTACCGTCCGCGGTGTGGAGGTTGAACGGCACGCGCTCCAGCACGACATACGGCTCTAACACGAATGTGGTCGGCTCTACGGCTTCGCCTGCATCACAGCGTTTCATGAAGGCGTTGGCATCATCGGAGAGGACAACGAGACGATAACCACCCGGATTTGGAGACAAATGTTCTTGACAAATCATCTCTCCGCAGTCGTCCCCCGTTTGGCGTTGATAGGCTTCCACAATCGCCCCGCCATACCGCATTACCTTTTTGCCATTGATATAATTATATTCAGAAGGCTTACGGCTCTTGCGCCCCTTGTCAATATCTTCCGCGGTTACGTGCAGTTCCAACGGCTCTGGTATCAGCGAAAGCAGTTCCAAGTATTGAAGCACTAACGCGCCGTCCTCGTCTTCCTCGTTCCAGCGCGGTGTCCCTGTGAACGGCTGATAATGCTTTGGCAATTGCGCGATCCTTTTATCCGATAACCAGATTCCGCCATGCCCTGCCGTTGATACCGAGACAACGCCATTAGCGATTCTGTGGTGGTCTTGGATTTGTCCCCACGGGGTTGCCATGCCTTTGTAAAATCGGTTTCCCAAATTCATCGTTAACTTTCCTTTATAGGTTGTGGGTCGGTGGCTTCGTTGGACAAGTGCAAGTCGTGAATGTTGACGCACCGCCTTCGGTCGTCAAAGCCTTTACTCTCGCCCCGACGCGCCCGAAAGCGCCCTTGTGTGTAAAGTGTCCCCAACATTCCCTCATAATATGAGATTAATTTGGGTGACAATTGTCAGCGTTCATCGGCAACGACACGACATCACTGCCATTGTTGCCATCATGCTTTTTTCGTGTATCCAACACGATATAAGGCACTCCAACTCAGCGAGAGAAACGCACACCCAAAAAGTTTTTCTTAAGTCGCTGAACCTCGACGCTCAACACGTCATCATAGACAAAATGTCAATCTCTTTGCGCTGTACGTCGCGCATCATGTCAGTAGTGCCGTGCTCTGTGTTGTCGCTTGTCCCCTTTTTTAGTAGTCGCGTCCGCCACATGATTATTAGCACGCCACGATACGCGCTTTTTCGATTGTCCTCGCTGCGCCGGCAGTCACACTTCTCAATCATCGGCGTATAGTTCAGTCTTCCAGTAGACACCGGCAACCAAGGCTCGCTACGCTTCATACCCCGAGTCCTGCTCGCCGTAAGGGTCACATCCGCCTTTGGTGAATTGTCAAACAAACGCTTTCGACTTCTGCAAATGGACATACTGTCACATCGCATGCAAGTGCTAAATGCACGCTCGCGGTGCAGCATGCATCGCGCCCGTTTTCTGTGGTTCGGTTCGCCCGCTGTCCCGAAAATTCTGTCGTTTATCCTCTGCAATAGCTGCTCATGTATAATGAGGGGAGCGCGCGCGCTGCTCACTATTAAGAGTAGGTCTGTCTTCTTTCCTTGGAGATACAATAATCCCGTCATCCGATGATGAGTGGTCTAACCTTGATTCCGATCTGGTTGCCTGCCTCTATCATAGTCGTTTCGTCGGTCATCGTTCGGCGCGTCGTGCGGGGTCGCTTGCCACGATGTCCTCTGGCTCGGCTGTGGGTCTCCGCTGGGTGGTTATGCAGAAGATCACCGAATTCGCAAAGGCTTCCTCATGGCAAACCGGAAGATTTCGCGCGGGTGAACACACTGCAATTCAGCGTGCCTGTCAAAGAAGATGTAGCCTCCGCGATCACCTTGCCCCATTTCACAATCACATTCGGTTGCAAGTTCGCTTTGCCTGTCGTCGTCACTGGACTCGCGCGCTTGGCTGTCGCAAAGCAAGCACACATGCGATTTCTTTCGTGAGATCCTGCATTTTGACATCAGCAGGTCGGCAACGGCCGCGGGAGATGTGAGTTTCCGTCTCTCTCTGCGTGAAACCGAGCCAGTCGCTTGCCGAGTTTTTGAGTTTTTTGTGCAAAACGCGCGATGAGTTCTCTGACCGCTCGCAACCTCACCGATCGATATTGTCTGCAGCTGCTTGGTCTGACGAGCCCGCATGCGTGCAAGGTTGCCAATCGTAGGTTGTCCGCACGATCCTCTGCGATTGTCAACGGCGCACCGGTGAGTTTTTTGTGACAGCAATCTTGGTCGTGATGCCTCAATCGGTCGCGGGGATGTCGCGCTTGATTTCATCTGCGAGCAGGTCTAAATTTGCCTTTTCCTCCGTGCGCTCTCGCGCATGTTTCTCTTTTTTCGCCGTTGCGCGCGCTCTATACTGCTCTGCCTTCCTCTGCGTCTCCGTTGACCGCAATAACGAACCAATCAGGAGAGACAGGCGCGTAACTTCTGGTGATGAATACGGCGCGATCTAATGCATCAGCATCTATCACCGAACCATCGCAGAAATGCACGTTGATCGTCTCGTGTTCCGTTCCGTCCGCCTCGTCAATCTCTGAATAGCCACTAAACTGCACTATCTTAATCTCTGGGTTTCCTTCGGTGTCCGTCAGCACATGACCGATGTCAAAATCGCCTACGCCTCCGCTGAAATGCGTTTGCG